CAAGTATCAGAATCGATTTTGGTACATGTTAAAAACACAGATTCCTGGGATGCATGGCAGACTTACTGAATTAGTTAGGTTTTCTTGGTGTGGGGCCTAGGAATGTGCATTTAATCAATTTCTGCAAAGTACTCTTATCTACTCAAAAGTCCAAAAATCACTCCCAGTGGAAGACGGATAAACAGTACCATCCACTGTGCTCACCTAAGCGGTGATGTCTCATGGTGGTGTTACACTGAGGTCTTGCCACATGCCGGGGGTCCTTTATGGGAGGGACTAGAGGAGGCTCCAAGTTTCATGAGGCCTGAAACCTAAACAATTTATTGGGCTATTTCAAGGGGGGGAAAAAAAAACCTAAAACATTACCAATACAAACAAATTAAAAACATGAATATACTTAGAATGAGAAAGGAAATTAAATTATTAATTTTTAAAAGGCCTGTCATAAAATCTAGAAAAATAATATTGTGAATAATTAACTGACATACTTTTTCTACACTTTTTGGTTGCATAGCCTTTGATTGCCTCTTCATATGACAGCTGTTTGGCACTATCACTTTCTTGTACAGACAATAGGAAGATCGTTGTCTCTTATGGCAATTTCAACAGAACTCAGGTTTTTTTATTGCTGGTTGTGATATGTAAAGAATGCAACTTTACCTACAGAATATAAACACACACTGCATATAACCCACAAACATAAAAATTCCAATTTTCTGTGATTCCCATTAACAAAAATGGTGGAGCATTTATCATTTTATATGCTGAATTGAATATATTCTTGTCAGGAGAGAATTTCTGTTTTGACTAGGTGTCAGAATTAAATCCTACTTGAAATTTTACATATCTGATGATTGAAAAAAAAATCCACCTAGCTTCTGGCTTTTGCACTACCCATATATTTCTGGTGCTGGCCATGATAGGACACACATCATGTGTGTCCATCATTTACATCACAGTGTGTACTTTGGTCCTGTACCTTCACCACACTCTGCTTGGTGAGTTGACACCAAGGGTGGAAGAAGAATTTCTGGAAGACATTCCTACACTAGGGGGGCTAGAAAATAGTGTACCTCTACAGGGAAGTGTCTGTAAATGATATAAACATTTACTACTGCACACAAACCATAGGAACCCCCAATTTACCTTCCTGTTAGTTGGAGCTCCAAAATTAATGGAAATCCTCCAAATCCACCCAACAAAAAGGGAGTTTGAAAAATACAAGGTCTTAACTAGTTGTAATTAAAACATCTTACTTTAGCCAATTTTATAAAAATGGATGATACTGTTAATGCATTACTGGGGTACTTCCCAGAGTCATGAAGGGGCCTGGCCAAGAGAGGACCTTCAACTTCAACTTCATTCCCTAGAGGGTTTTCTACTGGGGAGGACCAAAAAGAAACACAGATTGGAGATTATCTTTCTTCTTATGTTTTTATCATCTCAACATGTTTCAGTATTGCCTAGAAAAATTAATGTACTCCGCATATCTAAATTTTCCTTTTCCATGCAGCATTATTAACAGATGTATCCATTTCCTTACATTTGGTTGTCATAGCTTCCTGTTGGCACCATTCGTACAAAATTGCTCTCTCCCTTCCCTGTTCTTTCTTTTTTCCCCTTCCCTTCTGAATGGCACATTGGAGCATTTTTGTTTTAGGTGGCTCATTAAAGTAGACAGTTGGTATGGTTGGAGACTCAAGAGCCCTCATGGTAGAACAGGCTACCACACGTGCATGAGGGAGCTGAGTTCTAATCCCCACTCGGCTTTTAATTTGTTGCATGACTTGAAAAAGAACTACTTCCCCTTCCTGGCTCAAGCACCTCAGCTAGTCAGTAAACACGGTGGGCAAAATCTGTGGTTCCTAGGAGTCCAAGTTCTCTTCCAAGCCCTCAGAGAAGCTCTGCCTTTTTTTTTTTTTTTTTTTTGCTGTTTCATATTCTAGAATTTGTTTTAGGCTTTTTGTCTTGAAATGGTCATACTATTAAAAAAATAGATTGAAGGCCATTGTTTTAGAGAAGTAGTCTCTAAAGTAGTAGTCTCTATGGAATAATCTAGGGAAAAAAATTTTTTTTTGACCATTCTAATTCCATGGTAGAGCTCAGAATTTGAATTTGTGTTTGTCAGAAGTTTATTTTGGAGCCTGATGCATAGTCAGGGTTGAGAGATGTTATTCTAGGCCAGTGGTATGCAACCTTGTCTATATTTTAAGATTACATGGGACCCTTTAAAAATGCTGATGCCTGGGTGATTATTATTGAATCAACCTGAGGATGTAGGTTTTTAAAATCTCCATGGCTGTCTCTGATGCACATCCAGGATTGAGAAACCCTAATAGAGACAATCACTGTATTCTGTCAATATCTAACAATATTTGTAAGAAAAAAAAATCACAGATGTGATATCCATGTGCCCAGTCTCTTATACGTATTTATTGAACTTGTCACTTCCACTTTAAAGCTAAATTATGTAATTCCCACGTTGGTTGGGGCAAAGGCCAAAGAAAAAGCAACTGATGTGGTGCCAATACCTCTAGCTTCTCTCCCCTGGTTTGTGAAGAATTTTTCACTGTTCATCATTCCCGCAAGGGTCCAAAATTGTTATCCTTCTCTTGCCCTACCACAAACCCTATACCCATGCACAGGTGGGTCAGCTCTAGTCTTAAAGCAGCTCATTCATCAAATTAGTTGACTGGAAATAAAGGGCCTTGCAGATAAGATTTTAAGATTCTTTGCTCATTTCCTTAACTTACAGAATATGTTTTAATGGAAAAAAAAGGCCTAATTTCCTTCAAACTTAGAAGACATTTTTACCCCTTCTAATTGACCTTGATGTGTAGGAAAAAAAAAAAAAAAAGAGCAATGACTTTGTTGTGTTTCAATGTTGTTACAACACAGCCCCGATCTACAGAATTCTAAGGAGCTGAGTTAACGAAAGGGAGATGCTCTTGTAACATGAAGTTCACTGCTTGCTTGGGAACCCAGTGCTTTGGGAGGCTAAAGTGAAAATGTGCAGGGATGCTAAAACTGGATTCTCCCATGGTGTTTGGCTTAAACTTCTATACATCCCCCCAGACGGCAGAAGCTTTTATAGTAGACAGGATATCATTCATTCATTCATTCATCATTTATGCATTTGTTTTCTCACTCATTCATGCCATACACATATATTTAAATAAATACTCATGTGAGAACCTGATTTTGGCACTAGGGTAGTTAGAATAAGACAGATGTCATGTAGGACTTCATTGGACATTTCCGTTGACCATGGGCTTTTCAGTGGAATTCCACTGATGTCCAAAGGCCTTGAGTTCTCAAGGGGATTTTTAGATTTTATGTATACATTTTAATGATTATCTAAAAACTGTAAAGTAATCACATTCCAGCCATCTGGAAGATGACCTAATAATGAAGGATGTGATTTTAGGAACCCACATTGTGTTTGTCACCATGGTCACTTTGGTACCACGTAGAACACATTTCATTGCTAATTTTTTAAGATTTTATTTATTTGAGAGAAAGAGAGTGAGTGGGAGGGAGAGAGAGGGAGCAAGAATCTCAAGCAGACTCCCTGCTGAGCGCAGAGCCCCATGCGGGGCTCCATCTCAGGACAGGCAGATCAGGACTTGAGCAAAACCAAGAATTGGATGCTTAACTGACTGAGCCACCCAGGTGCCCCACAAATTTAATTGCTGTTGACTAAGATGAAAATAACCAGAGATAAGATTTATTCTTAGGGAATGCAGTATGCTTACAAGAGGGCCAAATGAAGTAAAGATCTCAAAATGAGGGTTGTGCAGGCATTTGCATGGGGAAAAGCTGTAGGGGCTGTGTTGTCATGTGGCTCATGGCAGAGTAGGGATGATCTACTCTGAAGATGCTGTGCTAAAGCCCTGGGTACCACATTGTGCTACTTAGTTTTAGGAAATCATCATCCTTTGTAGTAGTCTGTTATTTGTCCATTTTGAATGATACACGTTCGTAGATTTGTTTGTATTTAATTTTTAAAAATTTATTTTGGCTTTAGAGTTTTATGGAAGTGATAAGTTTACTTAGATTTGTGTTGACACCTAATTAGTAGTGCTAGTATAAAGATCATTTTGTCAACAGCAGGGATTAGGGAAAGCTTCCTTACTTTAAGGGGGATTAATGACAAATATTTTTCTAACTTACCTTGCTGTACTATAATCACTGTTTAACGAGTTCATTCCTATTAGCCTGCAAGCTCCTGGAAGGCATACCCACATCTTCCTTGACTTTGAGCCTCCTTTATGTTTATTAAATAAATGAGTTGATTAAAAATAATAAATAAGTAAGTTGATTGGCCACAATTGGGATTGTGTAACTCCTCAGGACTAAGTCAGCATGTGATGAGGTTTCTGTCAAGGGAGGCGTTTAAGCATAGGCTATTACTTGAAGACTCCTGAGTCCACTGAGGCTTAATCTGTGCCCATCAACATCCCTTTGAATTCTGAAGTAGGGGGGAAGATGAAAATTTTTACTTTTTCCCCTGACTTTCTGACAGTACAGGATGATTGCATTTGAGATCATTTTACTCCCCAAATAAATTGCCTGGATAGTATTTATCATACCACCACGATGGACTGCTGAGGTTCATTTATTTTCTTAGACAAATTCTCAGTTGTACCCTCAGGACTTGGGTAGGTGGTTGAGTATCTCCCTCACAAAGATGCTGGAATTCTAGGAGTCATTTGGAAAATGGCTTCCTAGGGGTCCTGTTCCTCCCATGGTGTGTGTGCCTGTGGATGTCTCAGTTACATCACGAGAGATGGCTGCATAAAATGAGGGGACTCATACGGCATCCGCAGGAGCCACTTTTGCCCAGAGGAAGCAGATTTTTGGAGTTGTCAGGAGGGTGGAAACGTACAGATAGCAGCCAGCCATATCTCTTCATCAGTTGATTTTTTTTTTTTTTCTTTTTTTTCCCCCCCTCTCAGCAGTTTAATGTGAGTGCTTCTCTCTCGCCTCGTGTATTTCAGATGCCTCAGGAACAATACACACACCACCGGAGCACCATGCCCAGCTCCGAGGGGCCACAGGTATACAAGGTGGGCATTTATGGCTGGCGGAAAAGGTGCCTGTATTTCTTTGTCCTACTCCTGATGATTTTAATACTGGTGAACTTGGCCATGACCATCTGGATTCTCAAAGTCATGAACTTCACAATTGTAAGTAAAAAAACACACGTTCCTTTAGCCCTTCTTGGGGGAAGGGAAAGCGTGAAGCAAGAAGAAGGAATGTGGAAAAGTGGGGGTAGTAGGATTCAAAATGTCTTGCAGCCTGGCATTTGGTTAAAAAGTATTGCTGTTCAGATTATGTGTGGGGATCTGCCTCTGTCTCATCTCTACTCCTCAGTGGCTGGGAGTCCAAGTTAGAGTCATTTCCCTCCTTTGCAGTCTCTTGTATGCTTTCCCTCCATTTTGATAACTGTGTTTCCATCTCCTGGAGTTTCCAAGCCCTCTGAGTAAATGATGCAGGAAGAAATATGGGCCAAGTTCAAAGTACTGAATTTTCCCAAATTTTGGTAGTGATTGTGAAAGGGTTTGTGAGGTAGAGGGTAGCAATATCTGAGTAGAATAAGGCTTTGTGGATTATCTGAGAGTTTTAACTGTCTATATATACCTCGTAGCCCATTGCTCTGGTTAATTGAGGTTCTCCTTGATTTTCAGGAGGCCAGTTTTCTTTGCCGCTGCCTGAGCAGGATGGAAATGAGGGGAGGGGAGCTATGCTTCACTTTATTTTTTTTTTAAGAATTTGTATTTATGCTTCTTTGAAGAAATTCTTGTTATTGGTAATTAGGGGCACTATGCACATTGAACATTTACTTATTAAAGTTTAAACGAAAAGAAAATTCTGGAAATATGATTTCTGGAGTTATCCTGAGGGATTCTGGCAGTGTAAGTACTTTCACTTTTAATGAACGCATAGTGGGTAGTAAGCTGCTGCCCTGAGATTACTTTTGTTTCTTGTGACATCAAAAGTAAACAATTAGATTGCCAATAAAAATAAATCCTGCTTGATAAAGGAATGTGACCATGATACAATTAACAGGAAGGCTTTTCATGTGAAACTCCCCAGTAGGATAATGGATTTTTGCCTTTTCTGGATTGTAAAGTTCATTTTTAGCTTTAACCCATTCTGCATGGTTGCACTTCCCTGCCTTTGCGGGAACAATATCTTCTGCTTAGGCTGCTTTTCTCCATCATCTTGATGTTCCTATAGCTGCCTGGTAAAACCTTTGATCCTCCTGTAGCCCCATTTATCTATTTCTTATTATACTCATCACCCTGAAGAATAATTTTTCTCTGTGTTTCACGGACGGACTAACTTTGAAAAGAGTGAGAGCTGCATCTTTTTAGAGCTTATGGCTCTAAGAGGTGTCCAGAGTCCATATGGTGCTAAATCCAAGGGACCACAATTGCCATCTGTTGATGTGCATGTTCTGTGATGTTTTTATTTTTCATTTATTATTTTTTTAAAGATTTATTTATTTCAGAGAGAGAGTGTGTGCACGAGTGGGGGGGGCAGAGGGAGAGGGAGAGAGAGAATCTTCAGGCAGACTCCCCACTGAGCACAGAGCCCTACACAGGGCTTGATCCCAGGACCCCCAAGATCATGACCTGAGCCAAAATCAAGAGCTGGCTGTGTAACGGGTTGAGCCACCCAGGTGCCCCTGTGATGTTTTTATTTTTTGTTTCATGAACTTATAAAGTGGAAAAGCTTTTGTTTTGCAGTATTAAGAGAAGACTGAAGCGAGGGCAGTAGAATGGAGAATAAAGATGTAAAAGACATTTATTTAAAAGATGGTGTTGGCGTACCTCAACTAGGATATAGGAGATGAAGGACTGGAAGAAATTCTGGAACATTGCCAGGGTCTGGCTGGTGAGATAGTTTAATGGTGGGGTCCAAAAAGCAAGATAGAATTCATTACTTTCCCGTCCGAACTTACCTGGAACTCATGGACCTGCTAACCCCCCTTATTTGGGCTATTTCTGTGATTTTTACCTAAACTCATGTGAAGTTAAGTTATAGAACCTGAAAGATTTGGGGGTGAGTGTGGTGGAGAATATGAACTCAAATCTTGGAAACTGTGATATCGTACAACTATGGCTTCTAGAGTGTGTCTTAATTGGCAAGCTTAATAGTGAGGGATATATGTAAATGTATATTGAGTGACAATTCACTTTGATTGTATTGAGCTTGGGGAGCCATATGACAGAAAGGTAGTAATCTATTTGAAATAGGCTACTTCCTGTAGTTAAATTGTTTGCCAAAGTTGAGAGTTCTTAAAGCTTTACCAAACCAAGTACTTACTGAGGTGAGAATAATGCCATTATTAGCCATAATTGGTGCTTTATAATCGTAATGCATTTGAGCAAATAGAGCTGAAGTGTCAGAAAATTGATCTTTCCCTGCAAGCTAAAAGCATATTTTTCCATCAGTCACAGTATAAAACATATTCTTTTAGAATTATAATTCTATTCCACAAATAGTAATTTACTGACGTGAAGATCTTCAGAAAGAATAAGGTATTAACCAATTTTATATTGGAGTATGTCGGGTGAAAGAGCAAGGAAATCAATGGGATAACATTTAAGAATTTTATGCAAGGAATTTAAAATATTGTCAACATAAAAGAGTGTTGTTTTTTTTTTTTTACATCTGGGATATTCAATAATTTGCAGTTTGGGAAAGTTCATGGTATAATCAAGCCCTCTGAGTAATAATTAACCAAGAGAATGATGTCATATGAAAGTACTTGGGAGGACTTGGCAACTTATCCAAGATCGGATATCCAGAATTTTACTTTGTGGTCAGACTTGTGTTCTGTGCCATCCCCAAGGATATATGCTGGAAGAGCCCTTCCATTAGAGCAATCTGGACAAATGGCCAACCAAGTTTTCTTGGTCCCATAGGTAAATCAGAAGACAAATCATTTTGTTCTCCTGTGCTCTTCACAGAATATTCTGGTGTTCGTAGGCAGGAGAGCAAGATGACACTTCGGTTCTCAATTTTGCCATACATGGAGGAGTGTGTGGTTTCCCTATACTGTGAACCCCCGTAATTCAAACTATCCTGGTTAATCACACATTGTGCTGTACAGGGGGACTACTATTTGCTAAATGTTTTGTCTGTTAGTGTATTCTGTTAGTCCCTGTGCTTGACCCTTAAAATATCTCTCATTTAATTTTCACAACTTTATAAATTAGGTATTATCTCCATTTTAATTTAAAAAAGTGCTCAGAGAAGTTAAATGACGTGCTGAAGGACACACAGCTAATAAATAAAAGAGCTAGTGTTTGATTTCAAAGCCCACCCCTTCCCACTACACTGTACTCCTCCCCTTAATTGCTCTAATGATCCAGCTCTTCAATAAAACCATTCAGCTGCCACAAGGCTCGCCATCTTTGTGGCCAGCCCACCGTCTCTAATCTGATCACACATGTCCCTTCCATCTGAAATAGCCATTGACATTTTCTGCATAGAGTAGTTCCCTGATAGTTATGAATGTTCAGTCCTCATGTCATTTCTCTTTGCACTGTGTCTGTTGACCCTCTCCCTCCAGTCTCAGCCTTCTGTTTTATCCCCTTGTTGTATTCATGTAAACATTTAATATAAACTTAGTAATAATTTCTATGCCATAGGGTGACATGGAGACTCAGTGAGTTAATTTGTGTTGAGCATTTATGGCAGCCTCTGACCCCATAGGAAGACTTGATATTAGCAACAGAAAGTCATGAGAGACCCTACACCATAGTGTCATGGTTAAGGGCTCAGACTCTGGAGATGGATGCTCTACCTACAGATCTGGCTTCTGCTACTTATTTTGTCAAGTTCCTCAGCCCCTCTGTGCTGTGGTTTCCTGGGAATAATAGCAGTACCTGCCAATTTATAGGATTGTTGTGAAGAGTACATGAGATGATGAGTATAAACTATTTAGAATGGAGCTTGGCACATAGTAAGTTATGTTAGTGTTTGCTATCATCATTGCCATCGTAACTTTTTGAAGGCTTATTTTATGCCAGGCACTATGCTGCTGCATTTTATAAGTATTATCTAACTTAATCCTTATGCGAGTAGGTAATATTGCGGTACCAACCTGACAAGGATGGGGAGAAGCTCAATAACTTGATTTGTGATCACATAGCTCTAAGGTGGCAGAGTAAAGATTTGATTCCAAGCAGTCTGGCTCTGGAACCTGGTCTCTTAGCCGTTGTGATATATTGTGGGGCAGTACAAAAAGTCCTAGCATGGGAGGAGTGGGGGGTGTTGGCCGGCTTAGTCCATGGAGTGTGTGACTCTTGATCTCAAGGTTGTGAGTTCAAGCCCCACGTTTGGCGTAGAGCTTACTTAAAAAAAAAAAAAAAAAAAAAAATCTAATGTCAGGGAACTAGATGCCTAGCTGGCCATGAACTATATCACCTTTTTTCTCTGAGACCCCATATGGAAATGAACACATTAAACTAGGTGTCTTTAAGACTTTAAGGTATCTTCCTTTTGGGACACTATGGTTTCATCTTTTGGGCTTTGCCTTGACCTTGTGTGATCTCACTCCGTAGAGGGCAGCTGCAGCTGCCAACACATTCTAGCACCCCCAGTCCAAATAATGTGGCCTCGAAGACCTCCCCAAATATTCCATATTGATCATCTACAGTATCATTTAGCACAATTGCTTATTAAGTAATAAAATTTAAAAGACTTGGGAATTATCAATAGATGGCATGATCTCTTAGCCCAGTTGAGTGTGAAGTCATTCATTGTTAGACAAAAGAGAAGCTTAGGAGTCACCTCATCAGATACCCTCATTTTGCAGATGATAGAATCAAACCGGATAGTGAGGTTGCCTGACGCAGCTGTGTAGCCCTAACCATGCCAGGTACTTCTCAGGAGCAGGGCTTATGCTCTATTTATATTTGTAGCCCTAACCCATTGCCAGTATACAATAGGCTTCCAATGTGCTTGTCAATTATAAATTGCCTTTGTGCAGATCACATTCATGGGATATTTGATGGCCAGTACCTGGTCAGTGCAGGTCACATGATAAGTCCTCTGTAAATTAGAGTGTTCTCTACCTCATTTAATAGATAACCTAACTTCTGTTTCTCTTTCCATTCATTAAAATTATAAAATTCAAACCATTTTATTAGTGGTTATATAAGAAATGAAT